CACACACACATTTGTCTCATCAACCAGGTAATACGGGCTGCAGCGCGAGCACGAAGGTGCTAGAAGAAATAGACGAAAGGCGAGACAAAGAAAGCAAAGAGGACAACAGGCTTTCTTTGTCTCGTCTTTCGTCTATTTTTTCTAGCACCTTGGTGCTCGCGCTGCAGCCCTTATTACCATGAATTCAAACCAACTAGCCCAAATAGCCGTTCTTCTTCATAAACCAGGCCTTTGTTGTAGCACCGTCCTGCACGTAATCCATCGATTAAAGCTTTCTGCTGAAATCTTATATAATTTTTTTTTATATTCTTACTGGTGCAAGAACATGTCCGTACACGCGGTAAACGCAGTGTAGCGCAAAGCGCCATCCGCCACTAAGCTTTCCTGACTATACTTATTGACTGTCCCACATTTCATGGTGAACAGAATGAGAGAAAAAAAAACAACATATGCGTATAAGGTGCGAACGGTGGTACTGAACGAATCGCACAAATATGCGGGCTTTCTACGATCTTTCTTTCTCTTTTTTCGGTAGTATGCAGATGACAAAGATGTAAATAAGTATTTCAGTCACGCTACAGCAGTGCATAGCAGGCGAAACATAAGCTAACCACGTACAAACAACACAGCAAAGGCGTAATTTAGTGCGAAAGCGTGAAGAGAGTTACCCAGGACGAGCATCTCTATGAAAGACAGAATGCGCTTTACTCGAGGGTAGTATTAACGTTGCACAGGCGTCGTGCACCGATTCAGTAGAGAAGAACGTAGATATTAACAGTAAACTGTAGTCAACGCATTTTATCCGCCGACAACCGGCTCAGACCGCACGCAACGAAGCACCGCTGCGTGTATTTGAACACGCGCCGCCGACCGCCTATCCACACTTGCGCAGGGACGGTGCTGCCACCTATAGCCCGATCTAGCCGCGAATAGTATCCCACCGCGTGTTAGACCAGTCGTCGGATGCTCAAGCAAGATAAACACGCCACCCGTCTTGAACGAGCGTGAAAAACATACGCCGGGAAAAGGGGAGGTGTGGGGTCGCTCGAGCGGCAGCGGTGACCTATGATTCTAAAAGCGTGGTTGCGATAAGCTGGCGCGCGCGTTGTCGGCAAGAATCAGCGCGCGGCTCGTAAACCGTTCTACGTGGTGCGCTCTCAACGGGAAGAGATAGTGCAATAAAAGCATTTCTCCCTGGAGTGGCCGTACTTATTTTCTTACACCAGCGTTTTGTGGAGTGTCGCGATGTCGGACCCATAAGAGTTAGCTAACAGCATTCGTATTGTCACGGGGTCGTGACGTTGAGGAAGGCAGCAGCCGCTGTTTTCATGAGTGAACTTAGTATTTGGGTAAATGTGTGCCCGGAAAACGAAACGTCACTCTACAAGCAATACACATTGTATAGACTGATAGCAGCAAACCAAAGCGTCGGCCGTCAATGATCTGCTAAGCAGCAAAGTGCGTCGGCATTCATACATGCGCCATCGAAGACTCCAGCTTTATCGCTAGCGGCTGCGTAACTTCCAGAACAAACTACAATGTATGTGTTGTGCGCGTATCTCAACGGAAGGTTTTAAGATTATCTAGATGGTTCCCAGTCATTCGGGCGCGGTTCGCGAAAGGGAGCGCGTGCGGCATCACCATCACAACATTACAAATTCTTCCTATTGCGACCATCGCTTCGCCGGTGAAACCGATTTTTTTTTTTTTCGGTTTATATGGTTCAGCTAACAGCTTGCTGTTAAAACATACATAGAGTCGCATAATGAGGTATGCACACAAACTCCACCCTAACAAAAGATAGATATGAGGGTTTAACGTCCCAAAACCACCATATGATTATGAGAGACGCCGTAGTGGAGGGCTCCGAAAATTTTGACCACCTGGGGTTCTTTAACGTGCGCCCAAATCTGAGCACATGGGCCTACAACATTTCCGCCTCCATCGGAAATGCAGCCGCCGCAGCCGGGATTCGATCCCGCGACCTGCGGGTCAGCAGCCGAGTACCTTAGCCACTAGACCACCACGGCGGGGCGCCACCTTAACAATATTCATGCATGAACGGAAATACGTCGTGACCAAACTAATTTGATATGGACGCGGTTGCGTCCTTCGTGTAGCCCACGCGTGTTGCTCGGTCGATAATAAAACTCAACTAAATTCGGTGTTGCACACGCAAATTGCCGTTTAGGCGATGATTGGCGCCGAATGGCACAGTACTTCGACCCCTGAGTCTGCATGACAAATTATTATAAATGAAGATATACTGAGAAAATAACTCTTCTAGTACCCTGCCCATATCCAGAGACCTTTAATGAAATGATTCAATCACAACAACCTCATTTTCTCATGCTCTATGGACTCGTTGTTTGAAACTAATAATAATAAAAAAGCTTTACGTGTCACTGCATGTTAATATTTCCATCTGACATGGCATGTACTGAGCTTTTATTAACAAAGGTCAAGCCCTTTAAAGCAGTACATGCATGCTATAGTGCTAAGGCTGAAGTTTTTAAGAACAACATTCATATTGGGGAAAACTCCTTTTCTAATATGTGTAGCATGCATCTTAAAAGCCTTGAATACGTTTTAAAAATGCCTTGAATGCTGTCCTGAGGTCGACCTGAACGCATACTTTTTCAAAAAGGTCCCTGAAAGTCGTCCTCAGGACAACCTGAGGGTTATCTGGGGCCGGACAAATAGACGGGATAAGAACATGTCGAGGTTATTTTGATGATAACCTCAGGTAGTCCTTTGACACAGGGTAAGGTATTCTAAGGACAACCTCAGGTCGTCGCGTGTTGTCTCGGCTAAGTTGCGCTGGCTTGCGACCGCGTTAAGTCGGTTTCCAGATCAAGATAAGACGTGCGCGAGTAGCAGTTGCACCACATCGTGTCATACTCGCGCACGTGGGCATTTATGCTTAACTTTATAAACAACGATAGGAATACCAAAGGTTATTACACAGGGCGATGAAGAGGCAATCTACTCTTATTGCGAAATATTAAACTTTTGCACGGCCGAATCTTCATTTGGCTGAAGACGTCATTTACATCGCACAGAGCCGACGGTTATTTCCGCTTGGCCGCGGTATACGCAGAGTGACTCACGAACGACAAAAATCACTTTTCTACGTGTTATAGCCAGTTCCCAAACAAATAAAAGAGACTATCGACATCATGCTAAACTTTAAACAAAGGCACACGTGGCGGTGCAGAGACTTTTGTATAGGCTGGTATCACGACGAAAAGCGCATCGCTGGAACGGATTGAGGGGCATCGGAATCATCATGGTAAGTCTCTCGTAGTGTTTGTTACGACCAAGAATATTTTGGTGCCTTAAATGATCCGATGCCGTGTAAACAGGTGGACTACTAAACTTTGGCTCAGTTGACGCAAACTGTACGCGAATGTGCGCATGCACTGGTTTAGCTGGCGTCATAGAGTTATTATACAGGCGTCATGGAGGAAGGAAAGCTAAGGAGAGGCCCTGGCAATGCGAGCTGCAAAGCGAAAACAGTGGCCGAAGTCACGTGATTTTGGAGAGGGGTTGTGGGAATATGTAGGCCCGCCGGCGTCTCGTGTCGTCTGCATCACCACTTGTATGACCGCGTACGTTGTTCATAGCCGGCTGGGGTTCTGAATGCGCATTTTTAGGCAGCTGTTGCACTTTACAGTTGAAGTAATGCGTTGGATGCCTACGAGTTGCCAACGGCTGCGAGTTTACTTTATATCGCTGGAGGTCGAAAGCGGTCGTTTTCGACGCTCGCGACCACATCTCCGAAAATGGTTGGCGCCGCAGCTTCGTTGTTTTCCTTCGGCACCGAGACGGTGCGTGCCTTAGCGATGGAAGCCTAGAATTCTTATAAGAACGGCAGCGTCTACGGCTCTTAATGCGAGAGGCAGTGGTGAGCCGTTCACGTGTACTATGGCCATAACTGTCGTAAAACAGTGCGTGACCCACTGTTCTCACGTAGCTTGCCGAGTCAAGAGTTAGACGTGCCTGACACAGTGTGATGATTAATTGTTTGAAACTATCGTTTCATGTTTACGTTAGCGCGCGGTAATTTCATCTCTGGCCAAGTTTTTTTTTCTCGATATGGTCGCAGTCGGCCGACCCACGCTGCTGCGCACAATACTCGTGCGCGCGTATCTGGACACACGTGGCAAAGAGTGATTTGGAGGTGCTTCATCTGGCTAAATAGCAATACAAATTAAAGTTCACTGTTAAACTATGTTCGGTACCCCGAACTTACCATATCTGCAAAAGAAAACATCCGGTCGTGAAGATTACCCCGCCGATCCGCGCCGTTGCTCTCTTTCGTTCACCGGAAAAAAACACGAAGTGCAAAGCTGCAAGTGTATTGTAGATTCACAATATGAGCTGTAATGAGGCTAAAATGGCACACAGGCACTATACAAGCGAGTATCGCAGCACGTTTGGTCGTAATCAGCACAAAAGTTTCTCTTTCCCAGCTCGTCTATCAGATGGCGGCGGCTGTGCCGCCCGGAGCGTCCGAAATCGGCTAGCGTGGCTCGCCTCCTTCTCGCTGGCACCCGTTGCGCGAGCCGCCGTAGCGTGCCCAACATTGCGCGGAGGAAGCCTCTACTCTTCACAACTTCCGGTTTCACGAAATGTGACGTAACAGCCTCTCCTCAGTATATTCCTTCCTCCATGGCAGACGTTAACTTGAAGCGCACTAGTGGAGGACTCACCGGCGATCACTTAAGCGCGAGTCCTTAGTAATCAGGGGCCTGCGAAAACTAATTTGAGATCAACTACGACGCTCGCGTCAACAAAATGACGTCGCATGTTACCAGCTATTGCGTCACGTTTGTTTTATTTTCCTGTTCCGCCGGAAGTGCTCCCTTCTGAAACAGATTGCACTAAGCCTCATGAAGGAAGCCAATGAACAGCTGATGAGCCGCCATTTTCTATTGAAGCTTCGCTGCCAGTTACCTTGGATATCTCTGCCGGTCAGAAATGAGTCATTCTCTCACCTTCTCGGAGAGCCAGCCCATGTGCTGAAGCTGCGCCTGGTCGAGGACATCACGAAGCAGGTGTCCAGCCTCGACCACGGCCTGTGCCATGACGCGCGTCAGGGCCGCATGCAGCGCGTTGAACCAGGCGGAGCACTGGGCCGCATCGGCGCAACGAAGTAGGCACACGCTGCGCCTGTCGGGGGAATGGAGTTCAAGCACACGCGGCTCCGGCACGGTCAGCGAGCGCGCCAACTGGCACAGTAGCAAGGGCACGCGCCGGCAGTCAGGCCGACCCTGTGGGTGCGTGGCCGCCGCAGTTCCCCTGGACAGCAAGCCGCCTGGTGCGAAGTCCCAGCCCATCTCCGCCAGCACGGACGCTTTGCGGAAGTAGGGCGTCACCTCGCGCAGGTATTTCACTGCACACAGAGAGACAACACGGCTCTCAGATGTTTGGCCGTGAAGGCTATGTCAATTGGTTGCATTGCTGGTATCAGAAACGTCAGTTACGGGGGGAACATTTTTCAATCGCAAAGCACGGGGATGGACAGAGTACACGCCTTTAAGGCGCGTTTACACTAGAGAGACGCGACACTGACATGACCCCGCCGAAAACCCGAGGCAGACGCAAACCATCGGCCGACAAGTCGCCCGCCAACGAAGTCGCCAGACCCCATGGTCACACTAGGCCGACGACGACGCCTCAAAAGACAGCATTTCACCGCAGTGTAACATGATGAGAGACCGAAAACACCAGTAAAATGCATTCGCAGACTTGTCGTCAGCGTGTCTTCGGGAGATCGGCGATTCAAAGCCTGAATGTCCAACGAGACGGAAGGTCCAGTAGTGAACATTCCGTCGTTTCCCAAGGTCAAGTTTCTCGTACCTGTTTTCACGCTCTTTGTGCATCCCAAGAAATACAGGAAGCGTACAAAGTCAAAGTCAAAGTAATAAGTCAAAGACAAAGTAATAAGTCAAAGAGCTCAACACCGCATCGTCGAAACTGGTATGGAGGTCGAACGGCTCACAGTGTTCTGTCATTGCGCTCTGTTTGTTGTTGCGTTGACGGAGGTCATTCTTGTGCTGCCGCATTCCTTCATGGAAGTTCTCGGTTTCCCCAACGTACGAAGTGGGGCAGTTGGCGCATGCCGGGATTTGGCACACTATGCTCTGCGCTTTTTCCGCAGGTGCATGGCCTTTTGGCCAACGAACGAAACTGCCGATGGTCTCGATGGACATTCCGTCTCGATAGACATTCCGTTTCGGTTAGAAATTCAGTCTCGTTGGACATTCAGTCTCGGTTAGACATTCAGGCTCGCCCGTCACGTGACCCATTAGACATTCCATCTCGTTGTACATTCAGGCTCTGAATCATCCCTCATTACCATCCAGCCAGAGAAGGACAAGGGAGCACGGCTGAAAATGAGGTGCGGGTGTGCAAGTTTAGTCATGGCGAATGCCACTGGTAGATCCGGAGTGGCCGCCGAAATGTTGGAGCGAGCACGCGGAGTGTGTCAAACGAGATCTGCGAGTGGAACACATGAATGCCCCGCGTGAGGTCTCTCCAGAAGTTTTTTACGCATACGTCACTACACCGGTATCATAAACAATTTTCTTTTCTGCTCTCGACGTTTCAATGACAACTGTGTCGCCACTGCAAAGCACGCATTTCGACCACGGAGTCTCGCGGAAAGCAGGGCTACCGCTTCCAAATTTTGGGAATGTAAACAAGAGCACAGGGTTACTAGACCGCCTCAAAATACGCTGAGGGCAACCCAGCTGCCCGACTGTGTCGGAAATGACGGCAACGCATTCTCGGAGTTCCGGCGAAATCCGTCTCTCGGAGCTCGCGGGACGCTCCGTCGCGGAGTGGATTGCTCCGAATCTACCAGTGGAAAATGCGAACTTGCTCCGAATCTACCAGCGAAACGCGGATTGTCAACTTTGGAGCAAGAAAACTTGCTCCCGCTCTACGAGTGGAATTCGCCATCAGTGTCGCTGCGTGTGCCTCCAATGTGACTACAGAATTGGCCAACGAAAGACTGTGAGCACGACAAGGCGCGGGCGGTGTCTTCGAGAGACCACCAAAGGACTGTTTGCATATTTGCAGTGTACATAGGCCCACGACAAGAGGAAAGACACTCCTAAAGAGAGTCCGCAGACCAAAATCGGTGCCGTGTCTCTCTAGTGTAAACGCGCCTTTAGAAGCAGTCCTCGGAGCAAGCAAAAGTGCCTTTTGTAGCAGGCTTGGAGCCTCCGGAATGGCATTTTGGAGGAAGCTAAACAGCCACAAGGGTCTTAAGCAATTTCGGAGCACTCAGGGTACATTCAGAGAGGATGTAGCCCCGTTACACGAAGCCAAATTGTGCAATAACCTCATCACTGCAATAGCAATTATATGGGCACTCTGTGTGGACTTTGTGGTTGTTCGGCGCTCGCTATAAATAACCGAGTGTGGGGGGCGCGCTGTCCTTCGTCGGTTGGTTTGTGCGGTCGCTCCACGTCCGATGTCACTGGTGAAAATGTATGCTCGTTGCGGGATACGCTCCCGCCGCGTGCATGCACGGGTTCCAACGACATGCGGGCTGCGTGGGAATTTACGCCAAGCGTGAGGACGTCGACTCAGTTGAAGACCTTCAACTGCGGCCCGGCGCTCAACAACGCGCCAACGGCGAGCACTGCGTCGCTAGCGCCTGCGGAGTCGACGTCATGACGATGTACCTCGCGCCCAACCTATCGCGTGCCGCCGCGGAGAAGTACGTCGACGAAGCCGTGGAAGAATACCTGAAACAGCGACCGACACGACGACCCTTCGTGATAACTGGCGACTTCGACGTCGACGTCATCAAGGACGATTGCGTGGTCGACTACATGGAGTCGCGGCACTCGCTGCATCCGACCACGGTTCGCGGGACGTGCATCGACCACGTCTTTGCAAATTTCGACCTTCGACCGCTGCAACCAGACCCACTCACCCTTCACTTTACGGACCATAAAGCCACCTTGCTCAAAATACCCAAAGCGTCTCATCAATAAACATCATCTTTCGCAGCATACGTGCATGCGTGTTCACTCGTGTTCACTCATAACACACACGCATGTCGCAAATTACAAACCACATTTATCGCAGTTCAACATATATGCTCCGCATGCTAACCAGTGTTCCCACTCGGGAAACTGCGGTCATTTTTCAGATTTACCTGAGATCGGATCCAAAAGATTCAGCTACCAGCATCTCTCCGCATATTGCCATTTCCGGCAGGGTTGTTTGGGGTCGCGGAAGTCGGTTGCCAGATTTGGGGGTGTTTGCCTCTGCCGTTCCAGCTTTCCCGTGTGGTTGTGTAGTCCGTTATGCCTGTGTGGCCTGTTGACATCGGCCGCTAACGGTCCCTGTGTGTTGCAGAAGCCACAGCCTTTTTTTTTTTTGCTGCACGCTCCATTCTACAATTAATAGATCGGACTCCATCGTGTCCAGCCTGTCACTATCGCATTCGCTACTTCGCCCTTGCGGTGAAACTAACTTTTTATCTACCTATGTACAGCCGCCCATTTCTTTTTACCCTGAACGCGCGAGCGTCAACCATATATCCGATAAGCGCCATACGATTTAGCACAGCAGGAAAATTCGCAGCGTGTGAACTCGAAAAGCAATCGTGTTGTATATTCTAGTGAACCATAGCCCCGTGCACTTGTCTTTGCTAGGCTGTTCTGGGAACCCGACACCACCCCCGCTTCTTTTGAGTACGTTACCATGATCCTTTTTCCTTCCGTGAACGCTGCCATCAAGTAATACAAAATTACACCACCTACCACTAAAGAGAACTATGTGGGGATGCGAAGCAGCGCCGCTGTTCACTTGTGTTTCTATTTGTTGTTTCCATTTGTACGTTTCCGTCTGTTTAATTTGTGTGGAGTAGTGTATATGCCGTGTACTGCTCATGTTACACCCCCCCTCCCATTTGAGTGTATTACCGTGTGCGTGCCGCAAAATGATAACCCAGCGCTGCTAGGAGAGTACAACGAAGCGAGCGCACACAGCATTATATACGAGCGCACAGCTGTGGAGCAGAGATAAACGGGAGAGGAGCAACGAAGCGGACGCAGCGCTTTACCACCTCCTCCACCCCACCTCTTCACGCTCACGCGAGGAGAGGGGCGAGAGTTGGCGCATGCGTCGTGGGGGAGCGGACGGTCACCGATGGACGGACTCTGCCCCGAGCAAAAGCAGCTTCGCATCTAAAAATCACTCAGGAGGACGCGAGGTGCACCATGACGCAATACAATGCCGTTGAGAAAGAAGTCTGCGACGTCTGAAGCAGAACTTATGCGTAGTGCAGCAGTTTCTGCGTACCGTGTCAGGTGATCGACAGCAGTCACAATCCAACGATTACCTGCTGGGGTGATGGGGAGCGGTCCGAGTTGGTCTATGCCAACGATGGCGAAAGGAGTCTCGGGACACGAGATGGCTTGCAGAAGGCCAGCAGCTCAATAACTTTTCGGCACACTACCGTGTACTACCAGCAGGAGACGAAGTTGGTCGCTTCCGCCATTGACACAGATGGCAAGATGCAACGTACTTGGCCACAAAGGTAGATGATGCCAGGCCAGAAGAAACGTTTCCTGATGCGGCTCTGTCTTTTGTGAAATCCCAAGTGGCCTGCACATGGGTAATCGTGAAAGGCTTCGAGGACTTGGTGATGTAGAGAACGCGCAAGTACTAGAACCCAGCGGTGTCCATCAGTAGTGTAAACGTAACGATGGAGCACATTGTTATCGAGCTTAAAATGCCGTAGTTGTCGGCGTAATCTAGCATTAGGAATAGGTGATATACCATTTAGGCGTTCGATAATGCTATAGCAATATGGATCATCACGCTGGCGTGTGGCAAACTCGGTGTAGCGATTTGAAGTCAGCGTGTCAATAACAGAAAGGTGTGATAATGTGAGGGGTGACTCAGTGTCTTGCCCACCAGACGAGCAATCAGCAGACGTACTCGATGATGACAGTGGAAGGGGACATCGAGAGAGAGCATCTGCATCTTGATGTATTTTGCCAGACTTATAGATTACGTCAAAATCGTACTCTTGTAGGCGAAGCACCCAACGACCAAGGTGACCAGACAAGTTTCTCAGTGACGATAGCCAGCACAAGGCGTGATGGTCTGTGATAACTGTGAAATGGCGTCCGCAAAGATACGGTCGAAATTTTTGTGCGGCCCAAACGACAGCGAGGCACTCCTGCTCAGTTATGGAGTAGTTCTGTTCAGCAGCCGTAAGAGCACGACTAGCATACACAATAACTCTTTCCCGTGAAGTGCCATCCCGCTGTAGAAAGAACTGCACCAATGCCATGGCCACTCGCGTCGGTGTGCAGACATGTAGGTGCGTTCTCGTCGAAATCGTACAGAACAGGGTCGGAC